CATACATAACAACGGAATTATTAATATAATTAGAATAATATAGAATATTCGCATAGTGAACTCGCTTGGACACGAACAAACGCGTTCAGCATGACATTATCGCGTCGCTATGCATCACGCCACCGTGCATCACGTCATCCAGCCACCCGCACGCAGTACCAAGAAGCTGAAGAGCGGTGGAATCCCTTTGGAAAAGACCGACTCGGGGCCACCATGCTACTCTGGAATTCGGCGCTGCAGCCCGACCGCCGTCGGAAGCCGCCGGAACAGAGCGAAGCCCCGTCGGAGGCCCTATAAAAGCCGTGCTCCCAGAGCGCCCGAAGCAGTTCCGCGGCAGTTCCTCAATATTTTTCTGATAGTCTTTACGTAATTTTCGACGTAGTGCAGTTCTACACACAGTTTTACACATCCTGCACTCGTTCATCTGCCGAACTCAACACATACACTTAAATTTACACTTCAACCTTTGTACTAATTTCTCTCACCGACCCGTTGCTACGAAGTATTTGTTCGGGAGATCGCATACACAAATACACAAGTTAACGACTTTACATCGGGGACGACTCCGAGATCTACAATTTCCAAAGCGCCCATCGCCTGCTACATTAAGGTGATCATCCGGGCCCTTCTACTGACAGCCAGCCAACACCGTGAGCCCATACGAGCGTGTCCTGGCGAGTTACTATAATATCGACACATTACTGCGATAAACAATCGTAAGTTCACTTCATACACACATCCTAGCATTTAGAATATTCACACAATAAACTGTAAAAGATTTATTACTGTCAACATATATTATATTTTATCTTTGTCTTACGCTCATTATAATCACTTGGAAACACATAGCCTTTGAACATTTAATATAATAAAACTATTCTAGCATAAATACCAGTCTTAACACCTCTTTAGTATTCGCTCTCATTTCCCATATCAAATTACATCATATTCTCTTTAAGAGTGATTTTGCTCATTCCTATCCAGCCTTACCTCGCGCATATCTTTTGGTCTCTAGGCTTCTCAGACTGAACTGTCTAACGAAGACCTATTACACACTTATTCCTGCAGAGCTGCGGCGCCTTAGGCGGCACTATAGTTGCGCTAACTTGCCAGGTAGCATAAATCGCTCCTGGTCGCTTTCTGCTTTTTAAGATCGAGCTCTGACAGTCCATGGTAGTAAATCACACCATACTCCAGGACTTAATTAAGATACGGCGATTTGTGGAGTAACGCGTGAAGATTTCCCGGCTAGCGAGTCGGTCGAGATCCGAACGAGACTCCAACAGGCCCTTGCGAATGGGACTTTAATGATTAAGAATTGAGAGACCAGAGATACCTTTTTGCTTAATACCAAATATTACCTACCTGAAATCACTCTTACAGAACTTATTCATTGAAACCTATTAAAATAGATTTAAATTTCATTTAAATAAATAGATGCCGAGACGAAGCGGCAGAAAATATAGAGAGCGCCTACAAAGGTGGTTTGCACGTACTACAGAACAGGGCGTACCCGTGTCC